CTAAAGAACATTTAAAATATGTTTCTTACAACTCCAATCTTTCTTTCTACCTTTCTATATTTTATAACGATTCAAAACAAGATCAACGTTGATTTTTCCTAAGAAGTTCTAAAAAACGTTTCTTCTTAGCGCGAGACATTACACGATAAGTGTAGCAACCCGATTTCGCGTCAATCATCTCTCATCCCTAACCACAAATAATTATCCCGAGAAAATTTCACGGCCGACGTTCGCCAGAGCAGGATCTAGGCAGAGGGATATTATCTATGGGTCCCGTATACCTAAGCTCTCGCCGCGAATCGGCCATTACTTTTCTCCCTTTCATTGCCAGTTGCCTGGTAACGAAATAACCAAACCGATTCCTCCTCGAACTTGGGGGAAGGGGGAGGGGGCCAGCCAACATTCTTCTTCCATTCCTGGCCCCTATCGCGGTAAGCAACGCGAGCATCCTCCCAGCGAGATGAAATATAGCCAGGGGGAGGAAGAGTGGACAACATCCTCTCGAGGGTATTTTTGGCGATGGGTTGGAACGGAATCGAGGACGTTTTGTTCTCTCTCTCTCTCTCTCTCTTTCTACGTGTTGGGCAAAACTGAGTCCGCCAGGACAGCCTATTTATGGTATGAACAGAAGCGGACAAACAATGGACGCGGTTAAAGGGGGTTGCCTTGTCGAGTTGGAATTACACGTTCGCCGTGTAACACGCCTATGGGGGTGGAGGTGACAGAACAACTTCCAGTTTCTTCGTGTACATGGTCAGTTATTTACGAATTTTTCGAGATGAAGAATACGAAATTCGCGCCTAATAAAATTTTATAGAGCATCTTTATTAGAGTAAATTACAGAGTATTTTTAAATTTTATATAGCATCTTTTGGATGATAAGAGGGGGTTGAAGGATTGGAAATATATGGATATGGGAGTAGAGGATTGTTTAATCTTTTAAAGGAATCGTAAAAGCATAGAGTCGTTCCATGTTAAACGGAAGAATTCGTCTAGAAATACATTAGGTCAAAGTTGTGCGACGACACGAGGTTATTAATAATGTGTCAAAGAAGGTTGCTTCATAGACGCAAACCTACTACAACTGTACAGTATTCATTCATAGCGTGTTCAGTGTCATCGCGTCATTAACGACATGGATTACATTTATTCGAACGCGAGATATATCGAATGATGGACGAAGGAAAATTCGTATTTTCCATCTTGGAGCTAATATCGATTAGATATTTTTTTTACCTTTTTTACCATTAATATCTATCCGTAAAAGTTGTTTATTACAAAAATCTTTCTTTTTATCTCTCTATCTACACAGCTTTACGACGATACTTGATCGTGAATAATGCATGGTGAATGGCAGGTATATAAAAATTACGCGTTAGAGGATAAAACTCGCGAATAGTAAGTGTGCGCATCGGGAATCGCATTTAGTTAGTATGCCACTATGAGGCTGCTCGTATAAGAGCGTGGAGGTCACAGGCGTGTACAGTGTACACGCTTCGTGGCTCTCATTAGCCTTCCCTTACTTTCTTCCCTTCTTTGACCGTCGATCCACTGCTAAACATATCCTGCGGGGCTGTTCTTCGATACGGTATTTCACCGTGACCCAGAGAATCTTTGCGTGAAAACTAGTGGTTTGACGGTGGTCTAACGCGATAATTCTAATTCATTCAAATATTTCGCGCCTTTTACGACGGATATTATCCATCGTTTCGAGAATTATATTTCTTTTATTTCGATCTTTCGACATTTCGTTTCGATTTCGAATTGAAATATTAGATAAAATATGATTTTAGGAAATATGAATTTTTTTTCTCTTTTTTGTAAAGTATATCGGTTTGAGAAAGATATAATAATTCTTATATTTAATTATTTCTAGGAAGAATTTCTTAAAGCAGTATTACAATGCGTTCCAATTTCAAAGAACGATTTAACGAAGTCGAATATATGTGTTTGTTTTATGATAATAATGGAACAATGGAACATAATGGAACGCGAAGAATAAATGTATTAAAAAGACATGTTTACGTGTATAAGAAACATATAAATGTATTCAAGTTTTTTAGAAATACATTTAATGTATCCACATACGTATTTTGACATTATATCAAACGAAACATTTCATCCAATTTCATAATTCTTCAACGAGCTTTTTAAAAATGTATAACAAAATTATTGAAATAATATTTAAAAAAGAATTTCTCTCAAATTCATATAATTATTTTAGAGGAATTGATCTACGATAGAAGAAAAGAATCTTTATTTAAAAAAGTAGACAGACACGTTTAAATAAAACACCCTATTGATTCTACAACGCATAGAAAACTCATTTGGCAAGCCTTAAAATGCTTTAACAAAATTATTTTTCCATAATCTCTACAAAAATTGACCATTTTAATTCTCTCGTTGAATTGTGATTTAGCACGAGGAGAGAAACGAAATAAGAGAGAGAAAGAGATAAAAAGATAAAAAGAGAACCCGAGGGAGAGGAAACCCGTGGTGGACGAAAATAAACAGGGGAAGAGAAAGGATTGGCACGGTGAAATTAGAATTAATAAACGGGAAATCCGCGGATGGATGCCGGAGGGATTTAAGGATGGTAGGGGGACACCTGAAAAGGGGAAGAAAAGTCGGGATACGGAGGGGTGAAATTGGGTCGACTTTGCGAAAACTAATGACGTCCGATTCAAACGGCGAGAAACGACGACCTTGCTGGTCGTGGAACGATGAATGGCGCGATCGACGGGAGACCGTCCTTTCTACGGATCTACCGTGGAGATTTTGCACACAACTCTTGCTGGATACAGGCCAAAATACCATCCCTCCAGCTACCCATACCTTACTCGCGCCCGTATTTCATTAGATCGATTCCTTGTCACGTGTTTTGCCTACGTATCGAGTTTAACCTCCTTGCTAAAATGAGTTTTGTTTCGATCATCGACGCGTGCATAACGATAACCACGGCGAGGCTTAATGCTAACCATAAACGTTGCACGGTCGATATTAACGCGACCGCTTAAACCCGATGCCTTTGACATCGTACATTACTTTCAACGTTCCTTTATCTATGACACCGTGCTTCCTTGGTCTCGTGCCAAACTTCATCCATTTCTTTCCTAACCTATTTCTTCCCTTCTGTCCGATTCTTGAACACTACCGGCCGTCTCGTATCTCGAGGATGGCAATGTCTCGCGCCTGTTGTACCGATCGAGTTACGAGTAGTTGCCTCAATAGTTG